GCTAAAATCGACAACGGCAAGCATAAAAGGAGGTTCTTTGTAAACAGAAAAATTGCAGCCCCTCCGGCACCTTCTCTGTGACTGGCTGAGAGGCCAGAGTCTCAGTTTGTAAGTCAATCAAACGGTGCAAAGCAGACCTGATCATTGTTCTGAGAAAGAGAAAGACTGGAAAGAAGCATGTAAGTCAAAATAATTATAGCAAATACTGGTAACAAGAGGAATTTGCGTCAGCATCTTTTTGGTGATGCAGTTCTCCAACCAGGCAACGTTTAAAAAATGCACGTATTAGTGGAAAGTGTGCATAAAAATGAAAGTATTGGTGAAAACAATATAGAAAAATAACTTGCAAAAATGCTATTTTGCACTTGCAAAAATATGTATAGGACATTAGTCCAAACCATACACAAAAATGTGCTTATCAGGAGAAATTCACACAAAATGCTACGAATTTTTATGAGATTTTTTTTTTTAAGTATCACAAATTGCTGCAGAAATGTGGTGGACTGAACTAATTATTGGAAAAACGAAAAACGGAGAGAAGCAAAATGGACGGATCCTTCCACCCCTAATGCAGGGCGATTGGCTGCTGAATAATACCTCCTAGGCCAGTCAGAATGGAAAGAGGAAGGATGTCAGAAGGGAGACAGAAAATAAAAATAGACAGGTTGGTACCAGAGCGTCTCTCTAGAGAGAAAGCGCAGAGGGCAGAGTTTGGATGCCTCTGGTTTTCAGAAACAAAATCAGCCGGAACACTCCTCAGAAAACCCAGCCTGGACTAGATAGCACTGAGGATCTACCTGGCTGAGATCAAGGAACGAATCTACCACAAAAACATTAATCCGCCCATTGCCAAGAAGGGGCTGGAGAATGTGATCACAGGGACATAAGAAGATCCTGCTGGATGAGCCCATCTAACCCAACATCTTGTTTTCACAGAGGCAAGCCAGATGTCTACAAGAAACTGGCAAAAAGGAGGTTCTTAGGTTGTGGGGGGGAATCAAAACTTCTGAGTTCAGAATCAAGCATGCAGACTGGTCAGGCAAAGGAGGAATGCCAGAGATTTTATCTGCTTGCATAATTTCAGTTTGATATTTGAGCTCCTACAAGGCGAAGTGGTAAACACAAAACACCCCCTTTCTGGACCCTGTAACCAGCACTGACGTCGAGAAATCCTTGGCAAATGCCAATTCCTGACTGCAGAGGCAGCCAGAAAGGCATTTGGCAGTGACATCTGTGAGTTACATTTTAGGGTTACAGTTCTCTGATTCAGGCGCCCGCAAAAAAGGACTCTTCAAGGAACCATTGGAAGCTGGCCACAAGTCTCCCCACCCGCCCCCCACGCAACTCACTAACACATGCTACACTCCTTAAATCTCATAAAGAGATTTTCATCCTGCTCTTTCCAGGAGAGACATTGCTAAAGGACTCACAGCGCAGTCTGATGACAAATACCTGCATTAAAATGTGCATATTCTTATCGGCATGTCTTGATGACTCTGGGAAATTAACAAGGCCGGGCCGGGCTGAGGTTCCACCAGCACTGCAATTTTTGCAGCTGTCTTTTAAGTAAAGGGTTTTCTTTGGAAGTTTATAAGCAGCTCAAAAGAGGTATTGTAAGAGTTGGAGAAGTTTCTGAAAAGGGCAACCGGAAAGATCAAGGAGATGGAGTGATTCCCTTTCAAAGAAAGGTTGCAGCATTTGGGAATTTTGAGTTTAGCAAAAAAGCAAAGGGATGACACAGTAGAAACTTATAAAATCATGCATGACGTGAAGAAAGTAGACTGAAAAACCTTCTTCTCTCTGTCTCTCCTAACATTAGAACTCGTAGACCTCCAATGAAGCTGAATGTTGGAAGGTTCAGGAGAGATAAAAGAAAGTCCTTCTTCACACAGTGCCTAGTTAAACTATGGAACTCATGTCCACATGAGGCAGTGATAGCCAGCGACTTGGAGTGCTTCAAAAGAGGGTTTGGGCCAATTCATGGAGGATCAGCCTGTCAATGGCTACTAGCCATGATTGCTATGCTCTGCCTCTACTGGAAACCACAGGAGGGGAGAGGACTGCTCTTGTGCTCCTGCTTGCCAGTTTCCCACATGCATCTAGTTGGCCACTGTGAGAACAGAATGATGGACGAGATGGGCCATTGGCCTGATCCTGCAGGCTCTTCTTATGGTATTAAAAGTGGGTCGAGAAGGATTAGAAGATTGGGGACCTCCAGTAAAAGACCCTGGGATTGTGACCCCTGGACCACCCACCAACAACAGCCCTGCTCTCAGGCAAGAGATCCCAGAACATATACAAAAATGCGTATTTTAGGGCAAAGTCCCCCAAGTATGCAAATTGCATACAAAAAGACACCTTCACTATGCAGCTTTCATTTTAAGCTGAAGATACACCTCTTTGCCCTGGTCTTTTGCGCTTGAGATGATGGGCTCCATAATCCACACAAGGTGACCAAAGCTACTTGACATCTCAGACTGCATCCCTGAAACCCTGGAACCTTAGTGTGGTGTGCATCTAAATTTTTTTATTATTAATTATTGTTGTTATTAGGTTAATTAGTAATCTTGTGCAATACTTAAATCCCTGCAGACCTCTAGCATCGTCCAACAACCCCCACTCAGCAAATTTATCTAGGCAAGAGGACTTGTGGAAAAGTTGCTTGTATAGAAAGCTCACTCTCTAACCAGGAGACCCTGTAGCATATTTATTGTCATCGTCATTGCTAAGGGTAAAACGCCTACCCTAAACGTGTGGACTTTCTTGAAGCTTTTATTGGCTCCCAGTACGTTTCCGAGCACAATTCAAAGTGTTGGTGCTGACCTTTCAAGCCCTAAACGGCCTCGGTCCTGTATACCTGAAGGAGCGTCTCCACCCCCATCATTCAGCCCGGACACTGAGATCCAGCACCGAGGGCCTTCTGGCGGGTCCCTCATTGCGAGAAGTAAGGTTACAGGGAACCAGACAGAGGGCCTTCTCGGTAGTGGCGCCCACCCTGTGGAACACCCTCCCTTCAGATGTGAAAGAAATAAGTAGCTATCCTATTTTTAAAAGACATCTGAAGGCAGCCCTGTTCAGGGAAGTTTTTAATATTTAACACTATATTGTTTTTAATACTTGATTGGGAGCCGGCCAGAGTGGCTGGGGAAACTCAGCCAGATGGGCGGGGTATAAATAAATTATTATTATTATTATTATTATTATTATTATTATTATTATTATTATTGAATGATGCAAAACAGGACGAAGCAGAGTTATGATTCAACACCTGCAAATCTGAAGCGGACTGGAGACACACAGATCTGGCCGCCCCTATCCCTGACCCCAACCACAAAAGAGGTATTCCTCCTTTCCCGCCCCACAGGGAGGAAATGTCTCTTCCAAGATTGTGCAACAGGTGCACGTGTCGCCCACAAACCAAAGCTAGCGAGCTTTCTTCCTTCATAACTTTCGGCTTTCTCAGGCGCAAATCTATGCAGGTTGAGCATCATCTAATTCCGTCAAAATAAGGTTTCTTCAGCGGAGTTGTGTAGTAGGAAAAAAACAGGCTCGTTAGAATTAAAAGAGTCGGGATCCTAAATGCAATAGTGCCAGTGCGGTGCTCAGCTGCAGGGAGTGCACGGGTGTCGTGACACAGAAATTCATGCAGTGCTATTGCAAAAGCCTTCCAGAGCATTTGATCTCAAGCAGAGATGGGGAAACGGGGGCCCGCAAGACACTGATGGACTCCGACACCCATCAGCCCCAGCCAGCATACCCAATAGCCAGGGATGATGGGAGCTGTAGTCCATCAACGTCTCGAGAGCCACAGGTTTCCCATCCCAGGTCTAACGGACAAAGCACATGCTTTCAGAAGGTTTTCGCCTCCTTCCTCTTCCGCAGTGTAGCAGCTTTGCCAGCTCTCCCCGTGCTCCGTAATTGACTTAATGTCACGGTTTCATAGCCAGGTTCTTGCTATCGTTTGCTCCATGCTGTTTTTGTTTATTGTTTCAAATCGCAGGAGGTTGGCAATGCTGCATTCCTTCCGAGCAAGCAGCTAAGGTAAAGGCTGATCTGCAGTTCTGCTGGCAAAGAGGAAACCCATCATATATGTAGATATTTGAGAAATCTCCCCGAAAGGGAAAGAAAACCGGGGTGGGTTGGGGGGGGGGACAACAACCCTGGGAAGCTTGTGGAATTATCTGCTACGAAGGTTTCCAAGGAAAAGTGGACAGATATCCCACCAAGCGTGGTAGGATGCCACAAAAAACATTGAATGCGCTTTTGAATCCAGAATGCAGCTTCCTAAGAACCTCAGATTCCCTCTCAAAAACAACTGGCAAAGCTGATAGTCCTCATGGTTTTCCAGAAGGCATGTGATGCCTGCTGAAATTTCAGAAAGCAGAGGAGTGGGGTGAATAAGGTTTTCAGTGGGGGGGGGGTGCTTCAGGACCCCACATTAGCAAAACTGGAATAAATAATGCAAATTCGCTCAAGTTGAACGAATTGCATAGCCCACAGAACCGAGCCTCCTCCCCAAGCAGAGGGTTCCGTAAATGTTAATGTATTTATTTATTTAAAATCACCTTAATGTAAAGTTTTAATGTCAGCTCTGGACGAAGGAAGAGGCCACATGAATGAGAGCGGATGCCGTGCCAGCCACCCCGAGCCACAAAAGGATTGGGGTGGATTATAGGTCTAAATTCATAATGCATTAAAAATAAATACACGGCTATCAAAATCTGCCAAAAACGTATCGCATAACGTAAGAGCAGATCCACAAACATGCCTACGGAACCACATGTTTTGGAAACAGCAGCCCGCAAGAAGCAGCCTGGTCCAAAAAATAAAAAACCAATTTCCCAGCAGAAAAGAAGTTCAGATTTCTGTGTGTTTTCTTTTGGCACTGAAAATATTTACATATATGGTGGGTTTTCTTCCCCTTTCCATCCCCTGGCCAGTGAGTAGAAGCTTTCTTTTTTTCCTTTAAAGAAAGAAGACAAAAACACACACCAACTAACCCCAAGTTGTAGCGGTCATGTGGCTGTGTCTTCCGAGTTACTGGAGGTGCCCGTGGCAAGGCGGTCCAGATCCGTGCTGAAAAACACGCAGCTCCAGGTTGGTTGGGTTTCACTTTTAACAAGCCCCCCCCCCCCAGAGGCTCAGCAGAGATAATTACCGTATTTTTCGCTCTATAAGACACACCAGACCACAAGACGCACCTAGTTTTTGGAGGAGGAAAACAAGGAAAAAAATATTCTGAATCTCAGAAGCCAGAACAGCAAGAGGGATCGCTGCGCAGTGAAATCAGCAATCCCTCTTGCTGTTCTGGCTTCTGGGATAGCTGCGCAGCCTGCATTCGCCCCATAAGACGCACACATATTTACCCTTACTTTTTAGGAGGGAAAAAGTGAGTCTTATAGAGCAAAAAATACGGTATCTTTTGAGGAGAGGAGTGACAGGGCACTCAAGTATTATTTCATATTGTAAGCAATATCTAGTCAGACCCTCTCTCTCTCTCTCTCTCTCTCTCACACACACACACACACACACACACTGTATTTGGTGTTGTTTTTAATTGCATCTCTATCCCACCTTCCCTCTAAGCTCAAGGTGGCACAGTTTTTCTTCCCCACCTTATCCCCACAACAGCAACAACCCTGTGAGGTAGCTCAGGCTGAGAGACTGTGACTGGCCCAAGGTCGCCCACTGAGCGTCACGGCTCAGCAAGGATTTGAGCCTTGGTCTCCCGGCCTCCGAGTCCAATTCTCTAACTGCTACACCATGTTGGCTTATATTTCATACAGTAAACCTGCAACTTGCACATTCAGCCTTATAGGTATGGCCGGGGTGGGTGGGGGGTGGGGAATAATTAAAAGAAGAAGAAAAATGACTTTGGCAATCCCACCCGCCATTGCACCCTATGTGTTTTGACTATGATTTTGGCACGAAGCGTGATCCTCAGAACGTAACCCCCCTCGTAAGTTGTCGGCTTAATGTATATTAGGTAAAGGTAAAGGGACCCCTAACCATTAGGTTCAGTTGTGGCCGACTCTGCTGTTGCGGCGCTCATCTTGCTTTATTGGCCGAGGGAGCCGGCGTACAGCTTCCAGGTCATGCGGCCAGCATGACTAAGTTGCTTCTGGCAAACCAGAGTAGCTCACGGAAACAGCGTTTACCTTCCCGATGGAGTGATACCTATTTATCTACTTGCACTTTGATGTGCTTTTGAACTGCTAGGTTGGCAGGATCTGGGACTGAGCAACGGGAGCTCACCCCGTCACGGGGATTTGAACCGCCGACCTTCTGATCGGCAAGTCCTAGGCTCTGTGGTTTAACCCACAGCGCCACCCGCGCCCCTGTATATTAGAGCCGAGCTAAAATGGCTGCTATGATCCTTTGAACATTTCCCATACTCCCCGGCAAAGGCTCTAGCCTGCTGTTTTCTGGGTCTAAATGGCACCCCTTGTTTATATCCTGCCTTTTCTCTGTGCAGCTCAGGGTGGCGCACGAGGTTCTCCCCCGTCCCACTTCAACCTCACAACAACCCTGTGAGGTAGACCAGGCTAGCGTGTAAGTGACAGGTCCAATGTCACCCAGTGAGCTTTATGGCCAAGTGGGTGGGTGAGATTTGAATCGGGGTCTCTCCATTCGCCACGCTATCTCACAGAGAAGCGGGGAGCGGAAGGAACAGAGGCAAAAATGGCTGAGGCTCTCTTGCATTGACCTGTCCACCCCTCAGCACAGTCAAACGTACGTGTCCATTCAAGCAGGCCCTTTTAAATTAATTAAACTGCCTCCAATCCAGTTTCTGGCTGTGACAACATTCCCCCCTCCCCCTGCCCCCCGACACACTACATGAGCTTTTAACTTAATTAAAAGGTGGCGGCGGGAGAAACAGCAGCTCTCCTATCCTATACTGAGAGCAGCTTCTGATATTCTGGAAGGTTGTAACACTTGCTGGATCGGGGCCACTGTAGATCGCACGTGGCCTGAAGGTTTAACTTGAGCCAAGCTTCTGAGCACGTCTGGAGTTGAAAATGAATAACCCCAGCCCAGTCTTTAAAGTGTCGTATTAGGGGGAGGGATTCCACAGCAAAGGGGTGCAGCTTCCAGATAATATTCATCTCTGCTTTGCTCTTCCCTCCCCCCTCTCCTTATTTCTAACATGATGATGATTGCTAAATCAGTCAAGGACTGCCTATAGGCCTTCTTTCCCTTCCCTTCAATTATGACCCCAGTTGCTGCCTCATTATGCTCAGTCGCCAGGTATAAAATATGGGCAAGATGCTGTGGTCTGCCAGAAGAGCTGGGAGTCCCAGCATTCCCTTCTTCAAATCAGATTTCCCGGTCTCAGAATAATGGGGCGTCTTTACAGCGAAGAGCTTCTTGTGCAGTTCGTCAAAGCTGCTTTTTTCGAGATGGTGATTTAGAGCTTTGCGGAAAAGTCTCAGGAAGCTGGAAAGTCATTCCAAGGGAAAGGAGCTTGTGCCAGTTTGACAAGTGCCAGGACGGGGATCTTCCAGGCAGAGCGCCAATAAACTGGGCCCTGCTTATGCTACGAATATAAACTAGTCAGAAGTCCATTTGGCTACCAGGACTTGCTCCATCAGAGGCACCGGGCATTGGATGAGGCCCAGGAACTGACAGAGGGGCAGGGGGCCACTGCCAAACTCCAGAGTCCCTTGGGCCAGGGGACGGGCTGTAGCTCAGTGATGGAGCAAATACTTTGCATGAAAAAGACCCCCCAGCATCTTCAGGGAGGGCTGGGAGAGAGAAGCCAGAGAAGGCAGCACTGAGTTGGATGGACCAGTGATCTGACTTGGTCTAAGACAACTTCTTATTTATATATATATATATATATACCGTATTTTTCGCACCATAGGACGCACTTTTTCCCTCCTAAAAAGCAAGGGAAAATGTGTGTGCGTCCTATGGAGCGAATGCAGGGGGGAGGCAGGCGGGAAAAGCCCTCAAGAGCCGCACACAAGCTTCGTGCGCTCTTGCGGGCTTTTCTCCAGGAGGGAGAAGGGACTGACTGGCTGCAGCAGTCCCTTCTCCCTCCTGGGGGAAAAGCCCCCAAGAGCGGCATCCTTTTTAAAGGCTGCGCGGCTCCTGCGGGCTTTTCTACGAGGTGGGGGAATCCCCCCACCTCCCAGAAAAGCCAGGAGAAGCCGCACAGCCCCTTTAAAGAGCGTTCGGCTTCTGCGGGAGGTGGGGGAAGCTGCAGCAGATTCCCTCCTCCCGGGCTCCCTTTGAAGCGGCAATGTGGGAGGGGAGCAGCTTACACTAGTGTAAGCAGCTCCTCTCCCACTTTCCTCCTTCAAAGCAACTACGGAGGAGGGAAGGAAGAGGACCATGGACCCTCCGCTGCTGGAGGCTTCAGCAGATTCCCCCCTCCGTGATTGCTTTGAAGCAGGAAAGTGGGAGGGGGGCAGCTTACACTCATGTAAGCAGCTCCTCTCCCACTTTCCTCCTTCAAAGCAACTACGGAGGAGGGAAGGAAGAGGACCATGGATCCTCCTCTGCTGGAGGCTTCAGCAGATTCCCCCCTCCGTGATTGCTTTGAAGCAGGAAAGTGGGAGGGGAGCAGCTTAAGCAGCTCCTCTCCCACTTTCCTCCTTCAAAGCAACTACGGAGGAGGGAAGGAAGAGGACCATGGATCCTCCGCTGCTGGAGGCTTCAGCAGATTCCCCCCTCCGTGATTGCTTTGAAGCAGGAAAGTGGGAGGGGAGCAGCTTACACTCGTGTAAGCAGCTCCTCTCCCACTTTCCTCCTGCAAAGCAACTACGGAGGAGGGAAGGAAGAGGACCATGGATCCTCCGCTGCTCGAGGCTGCAGCTGATTCCTCCTCCGTAATTGCTTTGAAGCAGGAAAGTGGGAGGGGGCAGTTTACACTCGTGTAAGCAGCTCCTCTCCCACTTTCCTGCTTCAAAGCAACCACGGAGGAGGGAAGGAGGGGACCCATGGATCCTCTTCGCTGCTCGAGGCTGCAGCAGATTCCCTCGTCCCGGGCTCCCTTTGAAGCAGCAAAGTGGGAGGGGAGCAGCTTACACTCGTGTAAGCAGCTCCTCTCCCACTTTCCTCCTTCAAAGCAACTACGGAGGAGAGAAGGAAGGGGACCATGGATCCTCCGCTGCTCACGGCTGCAGCGGATTCCTCCTCCGTGATTGCTGGGAGCTTCTCTGGGCAGGAATTCCCTCAGCTTAAGTGGGGTGGGGAAGTGTGGCAGGTAGGGGGGTACCTACCTAGACACTGAAGCCACATGTCTCTTAGATGAAAATTGGGAGTGAGCATTGTGTGAAGTGGCTGTGGATCTCCTGCCGCAGAACTGTAGGACTGTATAGAGTTGGGAGGGCCACCCAAGGGTCATCTAGCCCAGCCCCCTCACAATGTAGGAATCACAGCTAAAGAACGCCAGGCAGATGGTCCCCCAACCGCTGCTTAAAAGCCTCCAGTGGTGGAGACCCCAAACACCTTCCGAGGTCATAGAATTGCAGGGTTGGAAGGGAACCCCAGGAGTCATCTAGTCCAGCCCCGGTGGACAGCGGGCGCTATCCATCCCATTGCGCAAGACTAAAGATGCTGCGCAAGGCTAAAGAAGAAGCCAAGGCAGGGATGGATCGCGCTTGCTGCCTTGTCTTCTTCTTTAGCTGCACTGGAGAGGTTTAGCTCCTGGCTGGAGAAGTTGCGCGGCTATGGATCCCACGCGCTGTCTTGGCTTCTTTGCTCTTTGGGGCTGGGGGGGGGACCCGGGCTTCCCCCGCAGCCCCGAGAAGCTCTGGGAGAAGTGGACAGGCTGCGTGCAGCCTGTCCGTTGCTCTTTGGGGCTGGGGGGGGGATAATATTTTTTTCCTTGATTTCCCCCTCTAAAAACTAGGTGCGTCCTGTGGTCCGGTGCGTCCAATAGAGCGAAAAATACGGTATATACAAGCAAAATTCATATATCGCTAGTGATAAAAAACAACGACAAAGCGGCTTACAACAACCATGCACAGAACCACACAATAAAAAACCATATACAAATTTGAAACCTGCTAACTATTATGGAAAGATGCATTATTCTTAATGGCCTTCATAAGCCACCCTGATGGAAGGGAAAAGTTTTGGGACAGAAGGGGCCGGCTGAATCTCTGTTGACAATGCTGAGCCAGTGACACGAAAGGCTCTGTTTCTTGCTGCCATCAAATGGGTCTCACCATGACCCACGGTGCTCCTGCAGATGTTCAGCCCGGGATATAAGAGTACAGGCAGTTCCCTGAGGTACCTTGCACCCGAGTTGTTCAGGTCCTAGTAAATTATGTTCCTACGGAAAGGAGCTCACTCACAGAGGGAGAGAGCCTATGGAGGTCAACACACCCAGGTGCCCTCCAAAACCTGGGAACTGGCACCAGCTTGCTGCCCCCCAAACAGCCCTGGGAAATATAGCTTCATGAAGGCACCGATCTTGCTTTGTTCTAGATCACTCTCCCTTTTCATGTACCGTATTTTTCACTCTATAAGACGCACCAGACCACATGACGCACCTAGTTTTTGGAGGAGGAAAACGAGAAAAAAAATATTCTGAATCTCAGAAGCCAGAACAGCAAGAGGGATTGCTGTGCAGTGAAAGCAGCAATCCCTCTTGCTGTTCTGGCTTCTGTGATAGCTGCGCAGCCTGCACTCGCTCCATAAGACGCACACACATTTCCGCTTACTTTTTAGGAGGAAAAAAGTGAGTCTTATAGAGCAAAAAATACGGTAACTGGGTTCCTTGATCAGCAACGGCGACGGTCAAATGGGTCTGAATCTCATTTGACTGCGTAGTGCAGACATGCTTTTTTCCCACCGGCTGTAGAGGGCACCAACCCAAAGCTGGCATATATAATGTCATGTGCAAATGGCGGATACTCACTGTTGCTCTGCTTTGGCTCGATCGCTCAGGAAGAAGAGGGCCGTGGCTAGGAAAAACATCCCCCCCAGGACGACGACGAAAGGGCAGAGCATGAGCGCGTAGCCCAAGCTGAGGAATTCCCAGAGCGGAGATTCCTTTGTGCTCTGGCGAATCAGGTCAGAGATCTGGAGAGGAAGCAGAATTGGGGTCGGGGAGAGGGGGAGAGAAGTTAGCATCTTTCCGGGTGCAGTTTATTCAGTATGACAGCGATTGCTCGCTTGCAAAGATGTGTGGGACTCTCAAGAGATGTCAAGAGGGAAAGAAATATGATGGTTGCTACGATAAACCGGCTCCTTTTCTCATTGTCAGTCAGGGTTTCCAATTGTTATGCTTCCCTCCTGCTGGTCTGCAAAAACCCCTGCATGGAGGGCAGGAATAGCCAGGCTAGATTAGTCGTGGATAAGAGCAGGGAGTGTCACCCACAGCTTGGTGCTACAGCACATGCATGATTGAAGAGGGTCCCGGGTGCAAGCCCTGGTTTCCCCAGTGAAGAAAAAAACCAGAAAAATGATTTTGCCTCCTCTTCCCCCGCTCTAGTCCTTGGTACTTTCAGACCCTCCAAGTGCCCTGATTTTCCAGGGACAGTCGCAGATTTACAGAAGCCATTCTGGTTTCTTATTTTATCCTGGAATGTCCCGCTTTGCCTTAGGGCTTCCCTATTTTCATCGGGGAAATGTTGGAGGGTATGGAGTTATGCGACCCCCAAGCCAATGAGATAAGTAACTATACAACCTTTAGAAGACATCTGAAGGCAGGCCAGTATAGGGCCTTTTTTTAAACAAAAAGTTTAATGTTTTATTATGTTTTTATATAGGTTGGAAGCCACCCAGAGTGGCTGGGCCAATCCAGTCAGATGGGTGAGGTATAAATAAAGTAATAATAATAATGATGATAATAATAATAATAAGTAGTAGTAGTAGTAGTAATTGAATAGGACATCCCTATTTTCAGAGAAATGTTGGAGGGTATGCACTTTTCTTCCTTTGGTGGGGAGACACGATTGCCTTGCAAATGAGAGCCAAGCCTCTCAACACATCCCTGACCCAGACACCCCAAAAATGCACTTACAAATCCAATCAGGTAAGGGCTCCCAGCGTCTCCCAGAAGGTGTGAGGTGAAGCTTTGCAAAGCTACTGCAGTTGCCCGGCGTGTAGGAATAACCACGTACTGGCAGGGAGAAATATATTATTTATTATCATTGCATTTATATCCCTTCTTTCCTCCAATTAGCTCAACGTGGCATTTACGGACCTCCCACTCAGCGTATTATCCCTCACCACTGACCGGCTCAGGGTGACCCAGTAAGCTTCATGGTCAAGTGAGGATTTGAACCCTGGTCTCCTTGGTCCTTGTCCAACACTCTATGGGTGAAGCATTTCAACAACCAGTCCGTCAAATGACTAGCCCACACTGGGATATGCCATTTAGGATAAGCATGCATTTGGGGACCATGCGATTACAGAAAAGAAAATGGCGGCAGAGCTGGCCTGATCTTGGTTGTACTTGTACCAATCTAAGAGTAGACCTACTGCAATTAGAGGCCTATAGATTTAAAGATGTATCAAAACAACCATGGCTTCCCCCTGACTGCAGGAGAGAGAACTCCACAGTTGTGTGGCAAACCTATACAGTTCTTGCCATGGACTGACTGGATGGAGAAGGAATGGTGGAAGGAGCCAGCTGGGGAACTCCCAAGGGATTGGTGGTGGGACATTGGGTCCCTCAGTACTGTGAACACCCAAGGCAGGGAACCTGCAGCCCTCCCAGGGTATTGACTGACTGGGGTATTGGCCCACCCTCAGTATTGACTGACTGGGATATTGGCCCTCCCTCAGTATTGACTGACTGGGATATTGGCCCTCCCTCAGTATTGACTGACTGGGATATTGGCCCTCCCTCAGTATTGACTGGCTGGGATATTGGCCCTCCCTCAGTATTGACTGGCTGGGATATTAGCCCTCCCTCAGTATCAACTTACTAAAGTTAGTGTCTAACAACATCTGAAGGGCCAGAGGTGCCACATCCCTGCTCTGTAGCCACTGGGGAAATCTGTGGGGCCCTCTGGAAGTTATCAATCCATAATTCCCATCTGGAGGGCCAGAGTTTCCCCCATACTTGTAGCAAAGGATGGTAGGTGCCCCTTTAAAGAGCACTTAGAAAAGAAAAAACCCAGCCAAACATTAGTTCCTGCCCAAGTTTGGAAAATAAGTAAATTACAGGCCTGAGTGAACCAAAAGTGCACCACAGGAGCTGGCTCGGATATCCCTGCCAAAGATGGCGGCAGGTTGGCTAAGCCAGGAAGCAGAGCGTGGAATCGCCCCAGTTGCTCCAAGCTGAGCGGCACACACAGCTCAGGAAGCCGGAGGAAAGACCACAAGGGTTGCCCTGGCAAGGCCTTGCTTCCTAAAATAGAGGCCTGGGGAAAGGGCTGGCGTTGCCACCAATGTCCTCTTCGCACCACAAAAAAAATGAGCAGAGCTATTCGTGGCATCACACAGAGTACCACTAAGCTGGCTCTGAGGGCCAGGCAGAGAGGCCTGGAGGGCCACATTGGGCGCCCGGCCCAGAGGTTCCTCACCCCATCCTTCTTAATATTCCTCCATAATGGCAACAGGATGCTGAACTCTGCACCAGTGCAATTGCAGCATTATGGACTGCATGTGGCCTTCACCAACACAGTTAAGAGCACTCCCCATGCCAGCTTACCATGAGTATGTCAGCAGTGATGGCCCAGTTTGAAAACAAGAGCGTCTCACCGATAAAAATGCAGACCTGTTGATGGAACATAGACAGCACCAATTGCTTAGTTTTTACCACGTTTTAAGAAGATTTCGTAAAACGGTAGTACTCACTCCTAACATAACCAAATGCACAGCAATTTACTTTATTGCACTGTGAAATTGGGCGGCTTGTTTCCTTTTGTTTGGGAGGGAGGCTGGAAATGTTCTTAGACAGATACTAGTCAAATTCTCATTAATTATGGTTGTGGGCGGAATTAGATGGAGGAGGGAGAATCTTTATATTGCAAGGAGAGAGATAAAGGGAGCTAAACAGCAGATAGAGAATATTTATTTTATTGACAGTATTTATGTATTCACTGTGTTTGCATAGTGAGTCAACAATTTCCATTGATCTCTATGGGAACATTTCTAATGCGTTCCCGACCACATAATTTTGATCCCCAAATGTCAGGAAAAACCCGGGAAAACCCTTGAAGGGGGAAAATGCTCTCTTATTTGTCTGATCTCCCCCCTCCCCCCATGGTTTCTGGCAAAATGGATACCATGGACCAGCAAAACACAAAAAAGTAAGGCTTCTTTAAGGCTGTTTACTTGTTTACAATACCACATGCAGGTCCAGATGTTTGGATATGTGAATCTAGTGCATAGCTGTCAACTTTTCCCTTTTCTTGCGAGGAATCCTATTCGGAATAATTTCCCTTTAAAAAAGGGAAACGTCGATAGCTATGCTCTGGTGTGCATAGCAAGGTTTGGGTACTAATTCCTCATGCTTGGATAAGTGAATTTTTGTATAAAGAGTGTTTGGGTAGCGGGACCTTGGGAGCTTGTGGACTTTCCTTCCCTGGAAGTTTTAAAGCAGAGGTTGGATGGCCATCTGCCATAGATGCTCTAGCTGAGATTCCTGCATTGCAGGGGGTTGGACTAGATCAGTGTTTCCCAACCTTGTGCCTCCAGCTGTTTTTGAACTACAACTCCCATCATCCCTGACTAGCAAGACCAGTGGCAAGGGATGATGGGAATTGTAGTCCAAAAACAGCTGGAGGCACAAGGTTGGGAAACACTGGACTAGATGACCCTTGGGGTCCCTTCCAACTCTACGATTCTATGACCTGCGTGTAATTGCAATCAGGAACTTCATTCCTCCCCCCCCCCCGGACGCTACCCCAAGCTGCTTCATACATACATAGGCTCCCACAATGCTGCTCTTTGCCGCAACGAAGATCAGGCAAGTGAAGATGGCTGAACCCAGCATCCCAACGGCGCAGACGAGGGGATCCGCTCGCTGCGTCTTCAAACGGCACCACTTGGTTGCGCCGGCCCCGGTGATCACGCCCAGAAATCCGGTGAAGCAGGTGATAGCTCCGAAGATCAAGCTAAGGGCAAGGAACAATTCCAAAAATAGAGGCCTCTCTCACTGATACGGGCACATTTTTATACACAGGAAGGTGAGAGGCAGGTGGAGGCCGGGATTAGCAAAGCAAAAAGCATGAGTAAGATGTGCTAAACGGACATTTATGGGCGGAAATCCAAAGCAGGGAATTCATAAAATTAAGACGCTGGCTCTGAGGACAGTCTGGACGTTTTCCATGGGAATCTGAGGTTCTCAGGTGACTGAACCTCGGGGGGGGGGAGCACCTTTTTCTGAAGGGCGGCAATCTGTAACTGCATTTTAAAATTAACCTGGTTCACTTATGTGCTCTGTCTCTCAGAGGAGTCTATCTCTACTTTTTTCTTTTCTTCCTTTTTGGTGGTGCTGTGGGGCAAGACATGTACAGTATGTCAGGCCCAGGAAATCCTTTTATAAAATTTATTTATTTGGTTTTTCGAATTAAAATTTTACGGTCACACAGTCAACATACAATGTAAAAAACAAGATTCCAAGAAATCTCTTGGACTTCCCTCCTCCCCTTTGTGGGTCCTATTGTTAATCATTTCCTCCTGCATCTTTTATGATAATCCAAATCTTTTACCTCTCCATTGTGTCCAAAATTCACTATTAAACTACAAGTGATATTCCAATCTTACTAACGATTTTAACTGTTTACGATGGTCTGTAAGAAAATTTTAAATTTTCTCCATTATCTATCTCTACTCTCCACTCATTGCCTAACCTTGGAGGAATCCCTGATCCTTCAAGTTTGAGTTCCTCTAACATTAAACAGGAACCCTCCTCTCTCAGTGGGTTGGCATAACAGCAAACCTGTCCAAAGCCAGGAAAAGGGCTCTGAAAAACTGAAAAGGACTTTTATACAAAGTGATGAGCTGTTAGTGAAGAGCCAGTGTGGTTCAGCATTTAAAGTGCTGGACCTGGGAGACCAGGGTTCGAATCCCCCACTCGGGCACGAAGCTCACTGGGTGACCTTGGGGGCCAGTCACTGCCTCTAAGCCTAACCTGCCTCACAGGGTTGTTGTGGGGACGACCTGGGGAGGGGGAGAGCCATCTATGGCACCTTCGGTACAGTGGCGTAGCGTGGGTTGTCAGCACCCGGGGCAAGGCAAGTAATTTGCGCCCCCTAACCCGTGGATTTGCGCCCCCTAACCCCCAGATGTTGCGCCCGGCCCCCCCTGCACCCCCCACGCTACGCCACTGGAGGGACTCCCAAGAAGGTGAAGCGGGACTTCACCCCAGGGTATCTCGGAAGCCCTCGAGGCAGCGACGCTTCCACCCCCTGGAAACAGCAGGAAGGGAGAGCGCTCTTGTGCCCCGGTCCTGCTTTGAGTGCTTCTCATTGACGCGTCTGCTTGGCCACTCACTCTACATGGGCCCTTGTGGCCTTGATCCAGTAGCCGGGTCCTTCTTTGGAAAGAGCGAGAGCCTCCCTCCGCCCCCGCCACACGGAGCTCAGCCTGCACGTGGGCATGGCGCGCTGCTCTCTCCAGCTTCCTCCCGGCCGGGCCAGCGGCTCCACCTCTTTTCCTTTGCCTTTGAGCCGCTTAATTCCCAGCAAGCAATTAGCAGGCTCGCTCCACCTCCTCCTCCTCCCGGCTTTGCTGCTGCTGCTGCGAGGCTCTTTTCCTCCACCGACGGCGCGCTGCGCCTTGGAGAGGTTCCCGCTTCCTCGAGGGGGGCCGGCCAAACGCGCCCCCAAAAATGTTGCGCCCAGTGCGGCCGGCACCCCTGGCACCCCCCACGCTACGCCACTGCTTCGGTATACGGGCCACTATATTGGTCGCGCCAAACCTGCAGCTGAATGCAGGATTGGAATATGAATATGAAATCATATTGAAAAATCAGAACTCCTATTAGAATAAACAAGTTCCGTTATAAATACTGAAATACTAAATAAGATGGGTAACAATGTGTAACAGAAAAAGAAGTAGAAAGTTGGTTTAAAAGCGTGTGAAAGAAAGTAATAGAAGTGGAAAGAAATTGCAATTGAGTAGATTGGAAGTCAAGCACAGGGTGGGGTGAGGGATGGTGGTGGAAAAAGGAAGTATGTGTGGGATTGAGTGTGGGTATGTATGAATATTTTTAAGGATCATATAAAATGTATGTTTGTCTGTAAATTTGTAATATGTATGTAAGGTAAAGGTAAAGGTACCCCTGCCCGTATGGGCCAGTCTTGACAGACTCTAGGGTTGTGCGCTCATCTCACTCTAGAGGCCGGGAGCCAGCGCTGTCCGCAGAAACTTCCGGGTCACGTGGCCAGCATGACAAGCTGCATCTGGCGAACCAGAGCAGCACACGGAACGCCGTTTAACTTCCCGCCGGTAAGCGGTACCTATTTATCTACTTGCACCAGGAGGTGCTTTCGAACTGCTAGGTTGGCAGGCGCTGGGACCGAGCGACGGGAGCGCACCCCGCCGCGGGGATTCGAACCGCCGACCATGCGATCCACAAGTCCTAGGCGCTGAGGTTTTACCCACAGCGCCACCCGCGTCCCTAATATGTATGTATTAATGTTGAATTATTTTAATAAAATAAAACTTAATTAAAAAAAAATTAAAAAGAAGAACGCATGTACTGACTCCCCAGAAATGCCTTACGTCCAAGGGGGGGGGTGCTATAGCTGGCACTTAAGAGAATCTTAGAGCAGGGACACTGGGGGTGGGGGGCATCTAGCCCCACCCCATGCCAAATGCAAAACCGACAGCGCAAACTGCCCCTTGCGGCATCCCCACTAGACGTAAAAGCAAAGCAGGAGCTCACCTGTCTTTGGTCCCGCAGGGCTGAGATGTGCAGGTCTCTGCGGTTTTCTGGACCACTTGCGCCCGGTGGAGGTAGAGGGGGATCCACATACCCAGGGCCCCCGTGGCGAAGGAGACGGCCGAGGTAGCCAGAGAGGAAAAGACGTAGCTGCGGCTGAAGGGATAAAGGGGATTTGGGGGGTGAGCCAAGAAGGGGAGGCTTCATATCCCATGCATGCAGAGGAAGCTCTCGCTGCTTCCCCATAAACGATCCTGGAAGGTCCTGGTTTTAATTTTGTAATAGCATGGACAGAACATCAGAATGGACAAACCAATATAAGATGATAAAGCCATTCCAAAGAGCATGACGGGGGAAAGAAATGCACCGTGCATCTTCATTACACACTTTGAGAAGAATACAGTGGTACCTCGGGTTAAGTACTTAATTCGTTCCGGAGGTCTGTTCTTAACCTGAAACTGTTCTTAACCTGAAGCACCACTTTAGCTAATGGGGCCTCCTGCTGCTGCCGTGCCGCTGGAGCATAATTTCTGTTCTCATCCCGAAGCAAAGTTCTTAACCCGAGGTACTATTTCTGAGTTAGAGGAGTCCGTAACCTGAAGCGTATGTAACCCGAGATACCACTGTATATCTGTAAATGTGTATACAATGAGTGCAATTTAAATGAAAATTTGCTCTAATATATCTATATCTATCTATCTATCTATCTATCTATCTATCTATCTATCTATATCTAAGGTAAAGGGAGCCCTGACCATTAGGTCCAGTCGTGACCGACTCTGGGGTTGCGGCGCTCATCTCGCTTTATTGGCTGAGGGAGCTGGCGTACAGCTTCCGGGTCATGTGGCCAGCATGACTAAGCCGCTTCTGGAGAACCAGAGCAGCGCACGGAAACGCCGTTTACCTTCCCGCCGGAGCGGTACCTATTTATCTACTTGCACTTGGACGTGCTTTTGAACTGGTAGGTTGGCAGGAGCAGGGACCGAGCAACGGGAGCTCACCCCATCGTGGGGATTTGAACCACCGACCTTCTGATCGGCAAGCCCTAGGCTCTGCGGCCTCGAGCGCTGCAATCCCAGAGTCGGCCACGACTGGACCTAATGGTCAGGGGTCCCTTTACCTTTACGTCAGCAAAAAATCAGCAAAAAACAGGATGCAAAGAAACTTTGAATTAGGGGGTGCAAAACTGACACAGGATGGAAACAGGCTGATGTGCCCACCCCCCCACCTCTGCATAGTTCTCTTACTTCCTTATCAAGGCCTTCATGTCCCTCAGCCACGAGGTCCGAGCCTTCAGCTGCGCCCCCAGCTGCTCGGCGTTGCCCCTCTTAGCAGCTGGAACAAATATTAAGATGAGTGTGCCGGTGATCATACCTAAAAGTGGGGAGACCTGGAGGAGAAAGAGGTGTGTGGTGTGAGGAACCAGGAATCAGAAACATCTAGAGCACACGGCCTGTTTTTTTTTAAAAGGGCGGATGACTGGGGCAAAATGAACACCCAGCGTAACTGCAATCTTCTCTAAGCGGTGCACAAGAAACTCAATACAATGGAAATGTTAAAAAAAGATGAGTTAAAAATGATACAATTGCAATTCAGTTAAATATGCTTGCTGGAATAAAAGATTCAGCGGATGCTGGATGTTCACAGGAGGGATGGGAGACTCTCTGACCTCGACAGGAAGGGAGCTGCATAAAATTGGGTGTGCAATACTAAAAGCACAACTCCCTTAGTACGAGCTGTGTGTTCGAGCCACTGGGGACCACTAAGAGGGGCTCTCCGAAAGAGTTCAGCGATTAGGCTGGGATATAAAGAATTAGGTGGTTTCTTGGGGTATTCTGGATCAAAGTTGCTCAGGGCCTTGTAAGCTAGAACAAAAGCCTTGAACCACACCAAGTAGCAATATAGGCAACTGGTGTAGAGCTTTGAGCACCTGAGTTATGCGCTGCCGATAGCCTGGCCCCATCAACAGGCCAGGAGACCTGATTTAAGCACCCCACATCATTATCTACAAAAGCCACACCTCCCATCCCATAGTTTTCACCTTCCTAAAATTCCATCCACGGGAAAAGTCGCCCCTCCACTGGCAAGAGGCCAAGCGGAGTCAAAGGTTAGGAAACAGTTTTGCTGCCCTGTTTCCTGTTGGCTATTTCTTTTCTTTTTTTCTGGTCAAGCGCTCTTTGTGTCTGCTGTGTCCACCGCATGCTTAAAGTGTTCCCCGCACATTTCTCAAGGTTCCCCAAAGTGTATAGAAGGAAATGGAGAAACCTTCATGCAGGAAAATGAATGCAAAAGGGAAACACTTATCCCTCCCACAAAACAAGAAAACATCCCTGGCCGAGTTTCATGGCAGCCAAGGGACACTTTGTTTTTTTTTTTTTTTTATAAAATTTTTATTTGGTTTTCTGCTTTTATAAAGACAAAAGATACACAAAGAAAAAACAAAGACAAAAACATGTATAAAGTCAGCAAATCCCCATTTCATAACCTTGTTCCCTGACTTCCCCCCACCCCCCTAATGCATCCCAGTTTCAAGATTATGTCAGCAAGTTGATATTTCTCCTCTTAACAATCTTATTCATCTTATTTCCTTTTTTTTATAATAAAAATTAGTTTTCATAAGTTGGACTTAAGTTCTCTTCCATCGATTTTCATTTTATCTTAATTAAGAGTCATCTTAACCAAACCTAAAAGTCTTGAGAGTTTTTAAGAGTCTCTTCTTCCCTCCCTCCCATCCCCGGTTTTTGTCCCTTCCCAATAAAAATCCAAATTCGAAGTTCTCAGCCTGGGTTCCTCACATCCGAGGCTTTCAAATCTATTTCCGTTCCTCTCCGCCTGTCCTGTTGGTAGTCCTTTACAGCAGTCATCAGATCTGGGAAAAGTTCTTTCACCATCAAAGTATGTCCTCTTCCAACAAGAAGATTCAAAGGTGGCTGCTGAAGTATTTCCACAAAGTCTATCTCTTCCAAGTCTAAGTCCAAACGGAGGCCCCAATCATATTTCTTTATTTTAAATTCCTGTACTCCATTTTGTCTTGGGGCCTCCTCCTTCTTCTTCTGTATCTCTCGCAGACTTGTGGTGAATATGTTCCCAGCGTCTCCTTGCTTGTATTCCACAGATGTCAACTTTTGGTTATTACTTCCCAAGCCAAGGGACACTTTGACTAAAGAGCAGCAGAGGGAACGGAATGCTGCTGCGACCTTTCGTTTTCCTGTCCTGACAATAATCTACCTCAAGCCAGAAGCATCCTAAATTCTTCAGCAGATTTTTCCTCCACTTATAGCAAAACAGTGGTCCAGGAAGCTATTTAGCCTGTAATATTTCCCATGACACTGACATGAGGGGGGCATTCTAATATATAGCCAACCGAAAGGGTGCCTGATTCTTGTTTATTATTATTATCTTGGGCAAGTGTTGGAAGGGGCCTTGATAGTCATCCTGTCCCCCACTCCTGATGCAGGAAACCAGCTGCTGCAGTGCCCCTGGCTGATGGGATGCCCAGCTTGCCCTGTCACGAGGGTCTTCATAGTAATAGTGCCTTGTAATCTGCTGAAACCACGTCAGAAGAGGCTCTACGCGTGCACCAGTGTTTGCAGGTAGAGCTTCTCTATGCTCTCCCTCGCATAGCTCTAGCGTGCAGGGACAGCCAGTGCAGTACCCCCCAGATGCTGTGGACTACAACTCCCATCATCCCTGGACTGATGGGAATTGTAATCCAATAACATCTGGAGAGAACCAAGCTGGCTAGACACGGTGTAGATCTTCTTCCAGCATGCCGATGGTGTGGTCACTGGGGGTGAGCATGACTCACCCATAGAAGTCCCACATGTATTCTTTTCAATGTGTGGGCAACGTGATCTGTAAACGGCACCTCACTTAGGGGGCAGAGCAGATCTTTGAAACAAACACCCAAAAACAGGCTGCTTGCTCACCCGAAGGGCCCAGTGCCAGTCACCAGCTACTTGCTTGACGCTTGATCCAGTGATGTACCCTAAACCGCTGGGGAAGAAAGCAAAAGACAAGAGGAAAAATAGAGGAATTAGTTCATTCATTCGTTCAAGTTCCTAGCCCACTTGATCTCCCAGCAGCACCTGAAGTGCAGAATCCAACATGCGTAGAACGGCTAACCAAATGGATTGAAAACATGGTACAGTGGTGCCTCGCAAGACGAAATTAATTCGTTCCGCGAGTTTTGTCGTCTTGCGATTTTTTTCGTCTTGCGAAGCACGGTGTCGGGAAAGTTTTGGAAAAGCTTCAAAAATCACCAAAGTCTTTAAAAACCTCAAAAAAGGCTACCACACCGCGTTCTATGTGTTGCTCCTCGAAGTCAAGTCGCAACTGTATTAACGGTGTTAAGAAAAAGGAAACAAACTTGCAAGACGTTTCCGTCTTGCAAAGCAAGCCCATAGGGAAAATCGTCTTGCGAAGCAGCTCAAAAAACAAAAAACCCTTTCGTCTAGCGAGTTTTTTGTCTTGCGAGGTACCACTGTACTTTAAAACTTCACCTGTACCAATCCAACAGCTGCACCGTAGCCACACAAAGCCTGTTTTAAAGAAAGCTCCACTAGATCATGGCTGAAAAGCACACGTGAATTAAGGGAGTCCCACAGTCCAGGAGAACATCTAGAGCTGTTTGTGCATTCTGCAACCAGTCTCAGGAACTACACAAACAAAGCTACTGGTATTTCTTGTCAGCATCCGTCTTTCTAGAGAGACAACGGAGTGTGCCTCTGAGGTTGAAGGCAACTGCTGCATTTGTAGCACCAAAGTGACACCCCCAGGGAGAAATCCTGGGCACTGTGTATGAAGGTCCTGGGCTGCCCAATGACAAGGCTCCTCTCTTGGCCTCATTGATATGGTCCAAAGGAAAGCAGAGTAATATGCTTGGCACCAGCTTGGCCAAAGTTGCCGGAAGGAGGTGCACAAGGCACCATCCAGCCGTCTTAGGGACTTCACTCTGGATTTCTGTAGGGTTTACTCCTTAGCCTTTTCTTCTCCCAAAGATGTCCCTCAAGGCAACAGGGGACTACTGGTATAAGCGTGCAGAATTCAGCATCCTGGCCATCTCATTTGAAAAAGTGTGATGCAATTGAGCTTTACTCAGTCTAGACAGCTTGAAATAATCTGACCCAAATTAGTCATTTCCATAGTTTTCAGTAGGTCCACTCTGAGTAGGATCAGCATTGGAGAGCTCTCCAGGTCTTTAGCCCTTAAGGTTACAAAGTCCTCAAGGCGTTTGGTCTAGTTTAACAGCTGCTACCTTTTCTATAGGGACCCTTGGAAATCCATAGTGCTGAGAGGAGGCCTACTGAAATCCCCCTCACCAAAATGAAACTCCCAGGATTCTTTAAGAGAATCTAGAGTAGTTTGGTTTAGTTCACAGACAGATCCTGACCATCTCTAAGTACCAGTTGCTGAGGAGCAAACAACTGGGGCTGGCTGTTGCCTTTACGAGTAGCTTTGGGAGTTCCAGGAATAATCTTACTGACCCCTCTCAGATAAATGGCCCAGGGACCCCATTTGATCTGACCCTCCTCACTACACCACCCAAACAATATCAAGCTTGCTATTTTAAAGCCAGAGTCACGGGCCAAATTCACAGCCTCGCTTCCTGCTGTTGTTCAGGAAAAAGCTGCCCCCAGCGTTCTCAGGCGGGCCTGGGGACGCATTTTTTCCTGAAGAGCTAAAAGGAATGCTTTCAACCCTTTGTCTCCAAGCTGGCCTGCAAACGGTGAGTTCAGGATAGCTTGTTCGCCAGCCCGCCACAGATGTTTTGTCACCCGACTGATTACGGGAAAGGTTTCCCCCGCGCCGATGGAAGTAAACATGCGGCGCTGAGATTCCCCGCAGGAAACGGCCCTGCCAGCTGGAATGCGGAGCGCCCAACCCGTCTGTCACCATGCCAAGCTGGGGCAAGGAGGCATTGTGAGGAGAGAGGAATCCCCAGAATGCACCAGGCTGATAAGGGTGGCTCGAAGCAGGGAAGGAAGCCATTAGCCCCAAGCTTGGCACCGTAGCCGAGGTTTCCAAACTGGGACCTCAGTTATTCTGTACCTCAGGGGCACTCTGTCAGGGGCTGCATGCCCCCAGGTGGATGGGGCCTGGACGAGTGGTGGGTGGGGCTGAAGGTAACAGTGGGTCGGGCCAGAGCAAAAAAACACAAGGCCGCTTCCACACCATCCATTTAAAGCACTACAAATCCACTTTAAACACACCCACCCCAAGAATTTTCTGGGAACTCTAGTTTGTTAAGGACACTGAAGGTTGTTACTGCTTCAAATGTAAGGTGCAGACATGGCCCAGGGCTCATGGCGTTTTCTGTGTTCAGAGTAAAAAAGCAAAGAAACGAAACACGATGCGTGTAGAAACAAGGAGTCAAAAGGTCCATGGAGTTCAATACCTGCCCAAAGGGATTGCGAAGTAGAAAACGGAGAGCATGAGGGTCCGGGTGTTTTTGGTGAAGAGGTCTCCGATGATGGTGGGAGCAATGGTGGAGTAGCTGGCTTCGCCGATGCCGACCAAACCCCGCGAGAGGACGAACAGCCAGAAATACTGAGGGTGAGAGAAGGAAAAGGGGAGAAGGAGTCAGTCTGTTGTCATCGCGATTCACGCAGCAGTCCCAAACTCCCCTAAAATGCCTGAGCCACAGATCAGAAGGAACTCCCTCTCCAGTTCAAACTCTACTGTGGAATAGTGTGGTGTAGCAGTTAGAGCAGGGTTTCCCAAACATGGGCCACCAGTTGCTTTTGGACTACAACTCTCATCATCCCTAGCTAGTGGTCAGGGATGAGGGGAATTGTAGTCCAAAAACATCTGGAGAGAGACCCAAGTTTGGGAAATCCCAGTTTAGAGTGTTAGACTAGGAGTAGCACCTGGGAGACCAGGATTCGAGTCCCCCAACCGGCCATGAAGCTTGCTGGGTGCACTTGGGCCGGCCACTGTTTCTCAGTCTAACCTACCTCACAGGGTGGTTCTGAAAACAGCATGGCAGGGAGGGAAGCACCTATGCTCTCTCTGGAGTAAAGCTGGGGCTGGAATGTACCGTATTTTTCGCCCTATAGGACACACTTTTCCCCTCCAAAAATGAAGGGGAAATGTGTGTGCGTCCTATGGGGCGAATGCAGGCTTTCGCTGAAGCCTGAAGAGCGAGAGGGGTCAGTGCACACCAACCCCTCTCGCTCTCCAGGCTTCAGGAGAGCCCCAGCGCCAGCCCCACAAGGTCGGGGGACAGAGGGAGGCGGAACGCCGCCATCCCGCTGTCTCCCGATGTGGCTTGGAAGCTGACAGTGGGGAGACCCCGCCGCCAGTCCTGCAAGCTCCGGGGACAGTGGGGAGGCACAGCGCGTCTTCCCGCTGTCCCCGTACCTGATCTGAAGGCAGGAAGCGGGGAGAAGAGTGCTTCTCCCCGCTGCCAGCCCCGCAAGCTCCGCGGACAGCTGGGAGGCACAGCGCGTCTTCCCGCTGTCCCCGGACCTGGTCTGAAGGCAGGCGGCGGGGAGAAGAGAGCTTCTCCCTGCTGCCGGCCCCACAAGCACCTGGGGGGAAAATTAAAAAAATTTTCTTTATTTCCCCCCCAAAAAACTTCGTGCGTCCTATGGGCCAGTGCGTCCTATGGGGCGAAAAATATGGTAATAGATAAATGGAACACCCCCAAGCCTCAGCCTCCCTCAGGCCTGCTCTGCACATAACACTTAATCTGCTGCTGCCAGTCAGTGTAAACAATACTGAGCTGGATGCACCAGTGGTCTGATTTGGTATAAAGAGGCAGCTCCCTGTTTAATTTGAACCATGAGCTCTTTAATTTGAACCATGAGGACTAGCGTCTTACTCTGCCTCTAAGGGAAGGGCAGTAGCTCAGTGGTTTTGCATGCAGAAGGTGCTAGGTTCCTACGTTCCTCTGTGCAAATGCCTCGCCCGTCCTGCAACCCGGTCTAAAAGCAGGTGGAAATCTGCTGTCCCGGCACATTGGCTCTGCACCGCGCTGCAAACCAGCCAACCTCAATTTGCCTTTTGTGCGCTTGGCAGCTCCACCTCGGTACCCTTTTTGGGAACTGTTATGCTGCCGCGTGCCCTATAATTACAGGTCCAATTAAATGTTTCCTGCTGCCCTTGTCATATCAGAGACAGATGTGTGTGGGCTGAGCCCTAAAGGGCAGGCGCATGACTCAGGGCCATTTAATGAGTGTCCATCGCCCAACACTAAACCGCTCCGGAATACCGTGGGGAATCTGCTGATGCCCAGTGGAGCCAAGAGGCCTTTCAAGGAAGCGGCCATTCTCACAGAGCACACGCTGAACAAATGAGCTGGCAAAACATTTGCAGCGGGAACGGACAAGGGGTGTTTCTGCTAACGCAAATGCACAAGCGTGCGAACACACACACATATATTTGAGGATTTTTACTTGAGGAGGAGAAGAATCACAGAATTGTAGAATTGGAAGGGACCACGAGGGTCACCTAGTCCAATTTTCTGCAATGCAGGAATCTCAGCTAAAGCGTCCATGACAGATGGCCCTCCAACCTCTGCTTTGAAATCTCCAAGGAAGGAGAGTCCACAACCTCCCCACTGTCAAACATCTCTTACTCTCAGAAAGTTGTTCCTGATATTAAATCGAAACCTCCTTTCTTGTAACTTTTTCTGTGGGATTAGCAACACCTTTGAAGGACTATTTAGATTTAGAAACGAGTAGGGAAGGGAGACGTTGAACCCCCCCCCCACACACACACCCTTGTGCAAATTTCATAGCTAGAGAACTGGACTGAAAAATTCAGAGAAATTCTAATTTCAAAAGGTGGCTGCATTGAGGTCCACACAGCGTTCCGGAAAGCACGAATTTAAACACAAGCAGAACTGACTTTCTCCCACTTCCTTAGCCTTGAGTGGACAAAGCCATGGTGAGCTGAGGTGAGGACCAGCCTTCACAACCAGCTTGGCACATAGACACAGACTTCAAGGATGTCCAGTCCTCATCGACCTGTTTCCAGGGTTTCCCTCACTCTGAGAGTTTCTGCCCTCTAATTTTTGTGTGTGTGCACGCTTCTGCAAACTGGGACGCTCCCTCAAACCTTCCAAAACCTCCCTCTTTCACGTGAGGGTGATAACAATCGGCACTTGCTGTCTAAATGTCGGAAGTAGAGGGAATGGCCTTCCTTTGGGAGCCAGCAGAATAACAACTACAGGAAAATGGAGGACAGAAATATATATATACACACACACTGCCAGCCAACTCAGAATGGATGGTTAAAGTCTGGGACATTGTCCTTTTGAGTAAACAGATATATTACACCCATACAAAAGAAATGTCAAACGGCTGCTGAGTCATTAGCCTTACTTGCTGTATGATAATGACACGGCGACTGCCTGGCATTCCTTTCGTGTGTTTTTTGGGAATAATTCGAGACAGGACGAATAAACAAGGCAACTTTTGATCTTTTTGAAGTCTGCAACAGTATTTTAAACCGTGGCTGTGGTGCAATGGGCGTGTGCAAGAATTTCATGGAACAATGCCGTCCCCATTGTGAAATACCCCACTCCATTCCCTGAAACAACGGGGAGGGGGCTGGAAAAGGGGCACAAAAAACACCCACCCATTCAGAGTGAGGGCAGGAAGTACAGTTCACATGTCGAGGCTTTGAGATGACATCACATCCTGAAATCTGGTTGGCGCAGTGATGCTATGATGCTAGCTACATAGCTGGAGTAACTCGGAGCAGGGCTTTCAGTGCAGATGCCCCTGTTCTGTGCAGCAACACTCCTGCCAAGATACAACAGTATCCGCACTTTCCAAAGGTGATTTATATTTTTATTGTGACCCCCTTTCCCAGTTGGATGACCAAGTCTCTGCCATAAGTGTCGACCTTGTATTGCTTCTAAACTAAGCTGCTGTAGGGAGCCAGTGTGGCCTAGTGGTTAGAGTATTGGACTAGGACCAAGGAGACCAGGGTTCGAATCCCCTCTTGCCTATGAATAATACAGTAATAATAATAAACTAAGCTGCTGTTATTTTCCATTTTCCTTTTAACTGCTTTAGGCTGTTTTCATTGCATTATGTATATCGCTCCGAGACACGTTTTTGGAAAGCGGTTAAATTATTGCTGCTATTACTACTACCAGTACTACTAATACTAATAATATAAACCCTGATTGGCTTCATCGCAAGCCAGCAAAAGGAAAAAAACTGTCTTTAAAACACTGTACGAAAAGAGGGAAGCTGCGAACAGGCTGTGAAGAAAACGACAGCAGCTTTGAGGAGTTTGCAGGAAACACCCCCAGCACGCCAAAACTCTTTGCCCATCAAAATTTGGCTCAGCCCAGCAATGTCCTCCTCCCTGGTATTCTTCTGCAATCTCTTTAAATGCATTAAAATCGAAATAGTATTTTTTGCAAAGGTTCGAGAACCCCCCCCTCCCCACGCTAGCATTCCTCACCAACACCCCATTCCTGCATCTGCGGACGGCCAGCCATGCAAGTAATCCATACTTTAATAAGCCTAAATGTGTCCCTGCTCCTCTTGCTCTCCTCCTAAATTGCTTAAGAAAAGGAGAATTATGCTACTGTTCTCCAAGAGCTCTGCAGCCAGTGATAAAGCGATAATCTGCTGAAGTATGTCTAAAGCCCAGGGGCAAAATGCCTCGCCATCTCAAAAAGCACATGATCCTTAAATCCCAGGGTCAGAAAGCATTAGAAAACGCATGTGATGCGATCGGAGGCTGCGGGAAATCCCGGAGAGAGCTGCGAGGCCTCTGGGCTAGGCTTCCACACATCCAGATCCTGAGAAACGTTTACGTGGAACTGAAATTCTTATGGTGTGTTGTTGTCTTTTTAGACACACATCTGGGAACAAAATAGCCTAAGGCCTTGTACAGGAGAAGCCCGTAGCTCAGCACACAGAACATGTCATTGCCATGAAGGAGGGAAAAAAAGTTGCAGGTCCAATTCCTGAATTTTTGTATTACTGTATTTTTTGCTCTATAAGACTCACTTTTTCCCTCCTAAAAAGTAAGGGGAAATGTGTGTGCGTCTTATGGAGCGAATGCAGGCTGCGCAGCTATCCCAGAAGCCAGAACAGCAAGAGGGATTGCTGCTTTCACTGCGCAGCGATCCCTCTTGCTGTTCTGGCTTCTGAGATTCAGAATATTTTTTCTCTCGTTTTCCTCCTCCAAAAACTAGGTGCGTCTTATGGTCTGGTGCGTCTTATAGAGCGAAACATACGATAGATTAAAGCAAGGGGCAGGGAAACTTCGTCCTGGAAAGTCGATTGGGGTCCGCTATTGATGGTGGACATCTGGTGGTGGTAGGGGGGACACCAGAGTCAAAAGGTGGCACTTGAAGCAGCGGTGTTTGCAGCACTGCAGCCAAGCCACTGTGGTACAGGACTAGGACCCGGGAGACAAGGGTTCAAATCCCTGCTCAGTCGTGAAGCTCACTTGTTGTGTTGGTCCACTCAAAGGCAGTGTACACGTAACATTTTATTCTAGAATCAGTGGAGATGGAGGAGTTGTTTTTTTCTACGTACTCCATGCAGATTCTAGATCTGTTGCATATATCTTCT